TTATTGAATTTCTAGACTTTGTTAAAAAAATTATTTGATATTCGTTTTTTTATTTATCCATCATGTCAAATGGTAAGAGAAGAAAGTTATGTGATGAAAATAGAACATTTAATGTAGAGTGGGAGTTAGATTTTTTTTTAGTCCTGAGAAAGATAAAATGGTGTGTTTGTTGTGCAATACAGTGTTAAATACTTTAAAAAAAGCGAATGCAAATAAACATTATTTGACTCATAAAGAGCATAAATATTTCGCTTTAGAAGGTGAATCGCGAAAAACTGCACTTCGAAAGTTGAAAAATGAGAAGCATCATCAGCAGGCATCTTTTAGTGCCTTTGTCAATCAAAATTCCGCTGCAGTTGCTGTTTCCTATAAAATAGCACATATACTTGGAAAACGGGGCAAACCATTTAGTGACATTGAAATGATTAAAGAATGTATTGTTGAAGCAGTGAGTATGTTAGATCAAGAAAGAAATGTCGACCAAATATAAACAATTACCTCTTTCGAGAAAAACTATAACAGATCGACAGCACGAATTAGCGCAAAATATAACAGAGCAGCTTCATACAATTATACGAAATGAAGGTGTTTATTTTTCAATTGCGTTAGATGAAAGCACTGATAAAACAGATTCAGCACAAGTATTATATTTTATTCGTGCCGTAACTAAAGATTTTCAAGAAGAACTACTTGCGTTGGGTACACTAACTGGAAAAACTCGCGGAGTCGATATTTTTGAAAACTTTAAAGAAGTATGTGACAAATTACAATTGAATGTCAGTAATTTAGTCAGTGTCTGCACCGATGGAGCACCTTCCATGAGAGGCAAAAAAAGAAGGATTCATTGCATTGCTGAAAAAAAAGAAAACTTAAACTTAAAAAATTGATATCATTCCACTGCATTTTGCACCAGCAAAATCTTTGCGCGAAATCAACCTTTTGCAAGACACTCTGGATAAAACCATTGCAATTGTCAATTATATTCGCGTAAACGCAATGCGTCATCGTGAATTTCGGCAAATGCTCTGTTAGATGAGGAAACGTATAGTGTGGACCTACCGTACTACTGCAAGGTTCGCTGGCTATCATCAGGTCAGGTTTGATAAAAGTTTTGTCTTTACGACGACAAATATTAAACTTTTTCAAGAACAAGGAAAGCTATGTGATCTATCAGATGAAGTATTTCTGAGAAACCTTGCATTTTGGCTGATATGATGACAAAGCAAAAATAATTTAAATATTTGCCTGCAAGGTGTGAAAAAGATATATTTATGAAATGTGGCAAAAAGATCCAAGCGTTTAGAAAAAAATATTATTTTTTAAAGCATTGCTTTGTCGATCGGAAATATCAGAACAATTTTTCCCGGAGCTAACTAAAGTGTTAAATGAGCAAAACTGTGAAATAAGAATTCGATGAATACGTAGGTGTCTTGGATTGTTTAATAGAAGAGTATACTCAGAGATTTTCTGATTTTGACGAGCACACTCCTGCTATGAAACTTGCATTTGAACCACATTTAATAGAGATATCCGATGCGCCTCCAGAAATGCAAATGGAGTTAATTGATTTAGGGGAAGATAGTATCATCAAATCTCTTTTTAACTCCAAAAAGGATCCCATAGAAATTTGGAAAAATGCTGTTGAATATCCACGCCTTCGAGAACACGCTCGCCGGTTACTTTCCTGCTTCGGAAGTACCTATTGTTGTGAGGCAACATTTTCCCTCTTGTCAAAAATAAAAACGAATTTGCGAACGCAAATCACAGATACACATTTAGAGGATCAACTAAAGCTGTGTGTTTCAAAGATTGATCCAAATATAAAATTACTATCAAGCAAAAAACAAAGCCAAATAAGTCACTAACTTAGTGTTTAAAAAAAAAAATATTGTTTTTTTGTAATATTGTTATATCATTTTATATTATTATTATTACATATTATATTATATTTAAAATTTTGAAGTATTTTATTTACTTTTTCTATATAATGCAATATATTGTTAAAACTATAAAAAAAACTATAATAGTTTCACAAAAGTCACTTTTTAGGTCAATAAGCTTATGCGGCCTCTTTTATTGCTGCCTAATTTAAGTGTGGCCTCCAATGACGAAAAGGTTCCCCACCTCTGGTCTATACCATACATAATATTTTAATGTATTTCGATTGAAGATTAGTGTTATAATATTCTTCAAATAAAACTTGTGTAACATCCCAATATAATGTTTATTAAATTCAAGATATATTTGTTACCGACCTTGGGAATCAAAAATATTGCAACTGTTGCAACTGTTCATTGTAAACACTTTGTTGATCTTTTATGGCAATTTCAATGATAATGTTTTCATGATGGAACATGGCTAAATGTAATGTTATAAAACACTCGTACAAAAACTATTCAAAGGTTTTGTTGAATGCAACTTTACTATTAATTCATTAGATAGCGAAATAACTATTACATGCAGAATTAATAAAGAACAATGTCTAGTAAATGAGTTTTAATCCTAGGAATTTGAATTTCTCTCAATTTTGATATCAATATATATATTTTATGTTTTTAGGATTTTTTGTTTGTGAAGTATTTGTACTTTTTAACAAATTATTTGTTTTTTTCTTAACCCTTTAAATTTTTGTATTATTTGTCATTCCTTCTAAATTTGTAATTTCATTGCGTGCTCCTGTGCTTGTAGTTTCTTCTTAGTTTTTAAGATTTTAATATATTAATATTAGTCATTAAGTAATTAATATTAGTCAGTTATTTGTGCTTAGTTTAGTTAAATACTTCTGTGATTTTCTTCACTTAGATATTTAGTTTTTGAAATATTATTTAAGCATAATTGTGATAATTTTGTATTTTATAATTATGTATAATAATTATTATATTTTCAAACATTCCATAACTGTAATTATAATTGTTAATATAAACATAATTTTAATTGTTCTTTAAACATATGTAATATCTTTGAAAATATATATTTTGTATTTCGTATGATTTGTTCTTATTTCCAATATTAAAAATTATTCAGGTTTTTGGGGCTGTATACGATACGTACAAATTAAGAAGTAAAACCAGGGGTAATTTAAATATTATACATGTGCTGCCATCTATTTTTAAAAATTTGTATTTCAATCGAGGTAACGTCAAACCGCCAGACATAGCGATCTATTATACTTGTTTATCTATGGCCGTGAAGTTCGAAAGGACAAATATCATTGCTCAGGTAACCCAGTACGCGAGGCTTCGGAAGAACAAACATGATTGCTCTGGCAACCCAGGACGCCGGGTTTGGAAAGGAGAAACCGGCAAAACTCTCTCTACTTTGAACCACCGTAACTTACACTTCGTATACAAAAGTTATTTTCTAAATTCAATTCTATATTTTTCTGTGAATAAACTTCGTTATAAATATAACCAAGTGTTACTCATATTCTGAATCATATGTATATTTATAAATTTCCACACTAATGGCACAACACTACGGTCGGCAGTCAACCTGTTATCAACATCTGGTTTTTGTGACACACTAAAATCCCGAGAATAGCAAAATGGCGTCGGCGTCGGTAGAGTGATTTGATAATTTGCGCGGTTTACTTGTTGTGTTTCGTTTTGGTTTAAATTGTGCTATTTCAATTTGTATAAAAATGCCTAGAACAAAAATGTTTGCGTTGGTGTTGTGGTTGGAATCAAATCCCCGTTGTACGGATATATTTTCTTTGAGGGGTATTTGCTCTACAGATAGATATGTGAATGCAATTATAAAATTAAAGTAGCAAAAGGCAATAAAGTTAAGGCAGGCAGTAGCAAAGCGAAGGTTTTGGCTATTAGCGGTCTGTATATCTCAATGATTATTTCATAAAATGTATTAAATATATTTTTAACAGAAAATATTGAATTTTAGATGATAAGCACTTCTTGAATAATATGATTGTTAGTGTGGACGGCGACTTAGTATTTTTTTGATTTTGGGGGTTGCTCTCGGTTTATTTTATTTTCAAGGTATAAAGTGTAAGAAAGCAAATAGAGTTAGTTAGTTTATAAGAAGCATGCCATCTACCAGCAACATGAACAATCGTATTGTAACTCGTCAAGCTGCACGCAATAGCGACGAAGATTCGAACAGCGACGGGAACCAACCGCGAGCCGATGTAGGAACGAGCGACACGGGAATCGAAATTTCCGCGGGCGCGAATAATGCTTTGAGTCACGTCGGGGTTGCTAGATACCCGGTCTTTCATTGCGGAAAGTTTGAGGGTAAGGGAGCAGTCTCAGAATTTTTAATAGAATACGAACACGCGGCGAAAATAAATAAATGGTCAGATAGGGATAGAGTTGACTTTTTATTACAACACCTTGAGGGCGCGCCGCGCACGTGGTATGTGAAGCAATTGAGAAAAAATGCATTACGCGATTGGGAGTCATGTAAATTAGATCTCGAACTAGCATTTCCGGGGTATGGAAAAGGACGCAATTGTTATTAGAATCACGGGTTAGGCAGGACGGGGAAGATTTGCAAAGCTATATCCTGGAAATGACTGATTTGTGCGATAGAGTAGATCATAACATGAGCGAAATGAGCATAATAAGGTATATAACTAGAGGGTTATTACGTCCGCGATCGTTAAGGTGCGTCCACTCCTAACGAACGAACATAAATGAACGTACCAGAACGAACGGCAACAGCATAGTGTGGACGCCACAACGATCACGAACGAACATAAACAAACATGGCGAGCAATGTTCCGCAATTTGTCGGTACATCAAAGGGAATTGTTCGTTCATGTTTGAACTCGTATGTGCAGTGTGGACGCTACCACGAATGTAGACAAACATTTTTCTTTTTTGATGTTAAAATGTGCAGTCCTGCATTAGTTTATGTTGTGTTTATTATAAGATATTGCTGTTATTGACAAATTTTGTAAATTTGATGACTTTAAATAATTTTGCTTTTTTCCGCCACTTTAAATAATGAATCTGACGTTTCACGGTACATCCTCGAACAAAAAGATTCAAGCCCTCTCTGCTTTGAGGAGTTTGGAATTATTCGCGCTCTTTCGTGTTCCTATTCGTTCTTCCTTGTATTTTCTTGTTCGACATGTTCGTTCGTTAGGTGTGGCGCACCTTTAATTATACAAGCCGCGCAGTTTTCACACGAGTCGTTACAGCTATTCACATCATCGCTATTGCGGGCCGATACATATAAGTGCGTGTATGATTTAGTTAAGGGCGAGCAAGAATTAGGCGCTTTGCGCCATACCATAGAACCTTTACCGGATACGATTACATCGTTACAAGTCAACCAAAGCTCGCACAGATTCGTAGACCCTACGCATTTCAGAACAAGTCGCGATAGACCGAACGGGGGACAATTTCGAAACGGTTGGACGATGACGGGTCGAATTGTCTGCCATAATTGTAATGAAATGGACACTATCAAAGATTCTGTCCTGAATTATTTAATTACACGCAGGGTGCCAGAACCGACTCTCAGAATTTTCGGGCACGCCTGTCGCAAATACGCCGCTATTAGCGGAAGTAGAAATACCGCGGGAGGTATAAGAAATGCAAAAAGCCTAATAAGCGGAATCGAATAATGCACAAGTCGCTAGGATTTATGAAAGAGATAGGTTGCAAAAGTGAAAGTAAAGCGGTAAGAAAAAATAAAAATGGCGAATTACCGTACAACACATAGGTCAAATAGTTAGATTAATTAATAATTGTTATTATTATTTTTTTTAATTCAATGCTCGATTCGGTTTGCAAATGTCTTATAATGACTGTATGATACTTTTTGGCAGAATTGTTATTTATTACACAGGTTGTTTGTTCTTTTTACGAGATTTATTATATAAAAGAGATAAATTGTTTATAGACTGTTTGTTCTTTTTTTTGCCTTTTTACAATTAATGCACGCCCAGATAGAATAGAGTTAAGAATAGTAATAAGATAGAATAGAGTTAAGAATAGTTTTAGATCAAAGAGTTAAGAATAGTTTAGATCAAAAAAAAAGTTAGTAAGTGCATAGGTAGCAAATTG